TGAGTCGTCATTTGTTCTCAGGGCCAGGTCATCGTCTACTCGCGTCAAACATAAAACCAAAGCACTTCACGGTTTGTTAGAGAAATCCAGATTTTTCCGCTCTTGGCTGTAGCCCGTTGCCAACAACCTTCTGTAGCAAAAGTCACATTCGATCTCCCAACTCTTCAAAGAAAGCTACAACTATTAGCATATCGTCTATATAAGTGGCAACTCCTGGAATACCAGTTAAGATTCACATTAATAATTTAACACGAGAGAAGCCAGTTTACAGGCATCATCACACCGACGTTTTATGGGTCCTGAATGGTACAGAGAAGGGGTCGTTGAAATCTATGAAAAGCATCAGAATGTAGCGGTTGTGAGGCGAAGAAAATACCATTTTACAGCGTATGCAGAGCGTCAGAGCAACGATAATAAAGACTCTCATTTTCTTGTAATGGATTCAACATGAGAGATACCAGTTTACAGTCACCGTCAAATTGAAAATTCTTGAAAGTTTGCAGAACAGTCTTTGGTATTATATAATCCACACACCAGGTTATTGATGGTCGTAGCTCCACTAAAACTTGATGTAAATCATGAGGCGGGCATGAACTTTCACCTGCCATTACACAGATAGGTTCCGCTATCAACAACAAGGGCGCGCAATGTTCGGATTTTGCGCTGTGACCGGCCGACGTTCTTGGTTCATCTGCACAGTCTGTTATCTAGCAGTACAACCGTCTGTTCATTAGAAGGTTCTTCCGTTTGTAGTTTCGCTAACCACAAAGGACCAAGTTATGCCATCGAAGGTGTCAGTAAGTATCCCCAATTATATAGCCAAGATGAGTGTCTAAATAAGTGCATTTCCGATTCGCCACGTTATGTTTAGAGGTAATGTACACTAACTCCACCGGGAATACTTGTGGTAGTGGATGGAAATACAGGTTGGAACGGTTGATGGTCCAGGTGACAACAGCTACACATAGACCTCGGGCATCTTTCGTATACGATGACAAGATGGAGCATCAAGGATAGGTCTCAACCAAAACAACGGCAGATGATGAGCACCAAGTCAAAGAAGAGGGGAAACAATAAAATGATATTACAGCGATAAGGGGTGAGAGATAATGACAATAATAATGTCTATGATAATTTATAGTTGAGAATGCAAGTGCACGCCGGCTTGCTGGGGCGATTATATATTCGGGCCAATTTGACAAGTCTGGCTGGTATGGCTTCATTGCTCGAAGGTAATCAGCAGGTTTAAGTAAGCGGATTTGGTGTACAGAATACAACAGGACGACAGTTTAAGTTTTCAGTTGTAAGGATAGTAGGGGAGTTGGCCTGTGTTAGGCCTCGCAGAGGATGTCACACTGAAGATCTACTTTCTTCTTGAGCGCGTTGATCAAAGGTGCTGATACTACTTCCTGGGATAAAGAGTTCCAGTCGTTGACTACACGAGGAGAAGAAACGCAGATTCGCGCTAAGTTGATTCGATCGTGGTTTTAGAACTCTTTTGTGATGCCGTCGGAGATGGTCAATCCTAGCAGGGGAGAGAAGATAAGACAACAGAGAATCCATCATTTAGGATACGACATGCCACCATGAGGAATCAGTTCGGCTGATTTCGTGGTTCCTCAAGAGTGGACACGAAATGCCTGACACCAGCTTACTGTCACAACTTGACCATTTGCTAGTACGCCAGCATCCACCTTTGGGCATAGGTTGGCCGTTTAAATGCAGTATTCTAAGAGAGGCATAACGTAAGTAGAAAAGGTGGCATCACAGACTCGCAAGTCTAGGGTCCTAATGGGTTGCATAGTTCGTAACTTTCGCCTCAAAGAAGTCAAGTTGCTGCTCTATAAAACTTAAGTACGTCCACTTTTAGAATACTGTCGATTTATATTGAGTGATATCCGCATAAAAGACAAAATAGATAGAGGGTGTCCAAAGACATTCTACAGCCAGATTACTAGGACACGATTGCAAACAGGAATACAGCTCCAGATGCAGAACATTAAGTCTAGAACTACTTTGGATGAGACGACTCAAAATTAACCTGACACTTCTTTAATGTGTTACATAAACATACGTTTACAGCCAGTGGTGAGTTTCAGTTCGAACACAACAGTTGTCACGATCTGCGCAACCACGCCCACAGCGTCAAAATGAAATCGTCCAAGTTCTGCTTGCGCGCAAACTTCTTCACCGTCAAATTCTCTCAGTTGTGGAACAGACTTCCAGCTGAAGTGAAGGCCTCCAAATCAACCTCTGAACTTGGTCGGTTACTAGTTAACTTCTTATCATCTGGTGACTTCTATGGTTTATCGAATACACCGACAGTCTCTTCCGCGACACTTCGTATACTCGGCTCTCTTAATGTATAATGAGAGCCACCACACCTACACTGACCTTTCATACGAGGCGTTGGGGAGACTTCCATAAGTTATGACCTGAAACTGACGGCATAGTAATCAAAAATAGAAGTTCTACACTATCTGACAGCATGAAATTCATGTTCTTAAGTACTCAATAGTAAACGCACATACAATGAACGCCATAGCAAGGATAGTTAAGTAGGGAGAAGGCATGAACATAGAAAACACTCTTCTTGTCGGGATTCTTGCTTCTTTCTCCGCCTGCTGCTTTGTCTGTTTTTTCTCGTTGTAGAAAAATAATTCAGTTCTAAGTGTTGGCTAGGTCGTCATCGAGAATTAATTATTTGGGGAACAGACCTTGGTTGAAACTACCCTCCATCGAAGGTAACCAGTTTCACTGCGTTCACAATACCTAACTACAACAAGTAGAAATAAAAAAAATGTTCGCTGGACTACAACCTCATAATTATCGAAATCTAGAATTTACTCATTATAAAGTGACCAGAAAAGTCCAACACTTACCGACCGTAAGACTGTCACGACCTGTAAAAACGGCGGACAAGATTTCCTGGGAATCCACTTGGCGCATTCAAACAAGTCTATTGCTTCTGGATGCCGGAGGTGTAAAAGTGAAGACATTTGGCTTTTAGTTACAATATTCATCAAAATTATGAATCTCTGATGTGGAATGGTATTAACATGCATGAATCATACCGTTCTGGAATTGTCAATGATGTACAATAAGTAAACAATTTGTGCATACATTCCCTCATAAACTTTTCATCATTATCTCGAGCAAAGAATGCAAACTGTTGCCATGGAAGTATTAGCTTCAAACTTTATTTTTCTCCAGGTAATACGTGTAGTGATGAGATACGAGCCTGGTTTTTTTGTTAGTGCAAAGACAATACTTCCACTTGTCCAGCTTGTAAATTTTCTGCACACTTATTCTGCTGGGATGTTTTCATGATATGAAGATGCAGCACTTATATCTTTTAGTGACAACGGTTAGGGATTGAGATAACCTTCCGGTGAAGATGAATGTCATTTGAATATCAATTTATTCATACCTGTAAAAATGGTGTGTGCTTGTATGTTCAGGAATTATTATTGTTATTTTTTTGATTACCATTAATACGGTATTCTGAACATATCCTGATTGAAACTTTTGAAACCTGTGAAGTCGAACCACAATGTGTGAAGGCTCTTCGCTGCAGCTGCATTACAGTAAGCGTAGGTTTTGAAATCGTGACATCATCGGCGAACAGCAGCACCGAAGGGCTGAGTATTTTCCGTAGTTCGCTGACACATAACAAGAAAACTAGCGGACTTAAGATTGTTCCTCGACGAACTCCAGTCGTCGCAGGTTCTCATCAGCACAGTACCCCGCCAACCTTCACCCTTTGCCTTCTATCGCACAGAAGGCCCCTGATCCGGGTTTGCAATGAGGCACCAAACCCAAAAGAGGGAAGCTTCCCTGGTAATTTCACATATGACACCCTATCGAATGCCTTTCTGAAGTTCATAAACATGGCACGTATTGATAAGTTGCAGTCATGGGCTGCAGCCCATTCCTCTCTCGCGATAAGGAGATTTGATGAACAGGAGCCTCCAGTACGAACACTGTGACGATGTGGTGCCTAAAGACTAGTTGATTCAACATCTTTAACTACCTTGTCACGATTTATTTTTTCGAGAACCCTGGTAACTATGCTGGTTAGGTTCGCCGGGCAGTAGTTAGCCATCAGCTGGAGAATACCGACCTCAAATACCGGGCTGGTTATGGTTTCTTTCTAGTCTCTAGGGTGGCGAGTCCGAGATAGTGACACACTGAAAAGATCAGTGATTGGCCCAGAATTAATGTCCCATGTCAAAGATATCAGTCTGCGGTGTAACTCATCCGGACCCGGGGATTTTCCGGGTTTCAGATTAGTGAGCAACTGCAAGACTGTCCCCTTTGTTATGAACACTGAGTCCATTGGTGAAGCAGTAATGATATCACAATTGAGCCCTTCATCCACATTATCAGTAGAGAAGACTTCATCAAGATAACTCGATAGACATTTAGGTTTGGACAGATTAGATTCCGTCAGACTGTTGGGCCTTCCATCTGTTACAAGAGGGGGGAAATTTCTCTTTGTTCTTCTTGTAATGGATGCAAACAGGCTTTTGAGACATTTTTGTGAACTCCTCACTAGCTTTCTCTCGTATGACATTATGGCATATGTTATTACAGTTTTGCAGGGTTCACGGACTTTACAGTAACCAGTTTCATTGTTTCTATTCTAGTTTCTATAAACATCTACCATAAACCTGTCATCCGCCGTAAGTGTCGAGCGTCTTTATTAAACAGCAGATAACTAAAGTTTCTACACATTGTTAACTTTTTAAGGGGAATAATTTCATTCGTATTTCCCGAAGGTAAGGAATATGCGCCAAATGCTGAATGCCTTATTAGAGCTAATTCTCATTTAATACAGGCAGACAGATGTAAACATGCAAGCCACATAAATTACCAACACCAAAAACTATCATGTTAAGTGTGTCTTATAAGTTCAAAGCAGCAGGGTATCTCTAACATATAATTAAATTTGTTCAACTTCAAAAGGATTGAAGATTCATTCAGTTGTACAAATGTGAGTGCGAAATAAGCGGCACTAGGAAAGGCGCGGATTTCACTACTTGCGTTACAGAATGGCAAGTGATTTCAAGGGACACTAAAAGGTAAGTACAAGAGTAAAGGCTGCTGAACTTGTTAAATATGAGTGTTTTTTCGAGTAAAAGTTTAAAGCAGTAAAAGTTCGTACGATGTACAGTCACTGGCTAATTATCTTGTGATTACCCAAGCAGCATTTACTTTGGGTGCACTTTGTACACTTCGAGTGTAAGGCCAAACCTACTTCGGACACAATTTGAAACTTTTAACAGTTTCCGGGAGTACTGTGTATTTTCCCGTTTCAACCCGAAGTATACTTTTCAGGGTTTGCCCAAAACTTACAAAGTACGTCCGCAGTAAATGGCGGCTGTTACGATGTTGGAAAGTATTTTCGAGTATTTAGTTCCATACTTAGGTGAAAACAGTAAGCTCGATGAAGGTTTGAGGTGATATATTGTTTGTACACTTATAGACTTGATTCCGGTTGAAGTAAAATGACTTTCTTGCGGTAGTTCATTTTTACCATGCGTGATTTCAGACCAGCATCTTCAGAGGAAAAGGAAAAACGAAAGACGAGACAACACATCAAGAGAAGGCCAAAAAATATCCACGAAGAGGGCGAAAATATTCAAATAAATATCAGCACTGTCAGATAGTGCTTAGGATGGATTTTCAAATCGTTTATTCCTTTGCAAACCCATCCAATTTTCATTCAATATATTCTGAAACAGGTCGACATTTTTTAGGCTATAAAAAAAGTGTTATGCTTCCACCATCGCTCGGTTACCAAAGGGCATGCGATATACTAAAACCTTTTTTGAAACGACCCATGAAGTTATCCTGGCCCAACTGTATGATAACACGGAAAATAAATGATACCGAAGCGATGTCAAGGTTAGCTATAAAAATGAGAAACTACTCTATAGCCTTAGAACAGGTGAACTATTCGGTGGGTTCTAACCCTCTTGAAACTTTGGAAAGCGCAGTAGGGAAATCGCCCCCTGTGTTGCAGATGAAATGGCCAGAAACAGTCGAAGACTTAACACAGAATGACTGAAAACCTACGTTTGCACAGTTGACGAGTGAAGCTTATCTATACGCCAACGACCTAAAGGTGTGTAATTCCTGTTATATCTATGAAGTGACACTAAGACTGCCACTCTACATGAACTAAGTTAGGTTGTTTCCTGGTGTGTTGAGACCCTCCTACAATTCGACAATGACAAATCCGGATGGATCTGCATTGGTATAAATAACCTCGACCTGATATTTGAAGTATGTGAACAAGTTACCAAGACTGAATTCCACTTTATATAGAGGGTAAATACATTCTATGAAATTGGCTTTCTCTGAACAAGCAATCGATAGCAAAAATAAGTCATGGAGACTACTGGGGTGTATCATTCGTAACTGCTATAGTACTAAGGTAAGTGTTCCACTTTGCAAAGTATGCATCTGCCCACTTTTAGAATACTGCACGTTTATTCTGAGTGCCCTCCGTGTAAGTGACAAACTAAAATTCGAAGGGGTACAATGCCACTTCAGATTCAGCACTCGGAGCTGACTGCAGTATAAACTACATCTCTAGACGCCACATGTTAGGACTGGAACCTCTGTGGAAGATGTGGCTTTAACTGGACTTTGTGTTCTAATATTCCACTTTGTAAGTGCATTCATTCATATGCCCCGAAAATTAAGATGGTTGTAACATCTACTTATAAGTAATCCTGAATCTTGCTGGAAACTCTCAGTGCCTCCAGTACTGTTACTTCACAGTTCAGCATGTGTCATAACGCTAGTTACCTACAGTATGATGGTAACAGCTGGTAGTCTTACCATTGTCCAACAGATGTTTGGTCGTGGTAGAAACTCAGAGAAAAGTCATTCCGGCTGACGTAGCTAGTTCGATCACCCAGCTTCCCAAACCCAGACTAAATGCAATGCAACCAGCTGCTTCCAGTCACACCGTTTCTCAGTAAAACTTCCAAGTGCGACAAGGCCCAAAGAAATCATCATCATCATTATCAACTAAAGAAATACATTGACACAAACCATATCCAGTGAATCACTGATAGGAACGTTTGAGTAGTTATTTAATCTCAGTGTCATAAGTCCATCCATCAGCTCCTCAGGGAACCAAGTGGTAAAGATCCAATTATCTGTCTATCAGGCATACAAAGTGTTCATTGGGTATCTACTTATGTATGCCATCTTCGACGTCAACATATCACACTACTTAGATGCAAGTATACTATACATTACACAGTTATCACATAACGCTTTAGAATGGACAGTATGATAGGATAACAAGGCCTTAACCATAGTTTCTCCATACCATTTCTCGTGAGTGACAAATTCACCATGATAAAAATTCAAAGGTTATGTGTTTACTCCACAAAAGAGATTGAAACCCAGAGGATGAAGACGTCAAGCTCCTCCAAGTAAATCAACTGATTTCTCATTAGAAATAGCCCAATATTAAATTAAAAGCAAGAAATATATATATATATATATATATATATATATATATATATATATATATAAAGTTGAAGTCGCTAGGAATTGATTACCAATTATAAGGGTGAGTTAAATCTTTCCTCAGTAATCGCACTCGTCATGAAAGTAGACTTGCACACTCTAAAACCTACCCCAATCACCTCATGCGTAGTTCAAGACAGTGTATTAGGTCCCCTTCTCTTTATACGTCAATGACATCTCCAGCTGCTTTACACACGGTAAATCATTATTGTTTGCTGATGACCTAAACGTTGCATACACATTCACCCATGATGATTTATCCCACTTTCAAGCACTAATACAAAGGGAGCTCGATATAGTATCCGCATGGTCTGCTGCTTGGAAACTGCAGTTCAATATAGGCAAATGTGGCTGGATATGTTTTGGTGCTCCCTCGGTAGACATCCAACTACATCTACGTCTACGAAACTACCTGTTCTTAAAAGTGTATGTGACCTTGGACTAAGGTGTTCAAGGGACCTCAGATCTTCTGAACAGGTGGCATCACAGACTCGCAAGTCTAGGGTCCTAATGGGTTGCATAGTTCGTAACTTTCGCCTCAAAGAAGTCAAGTTGCTGCTCTATAAAACTTAAGTACGTCCACTTTTAGAATACTGTCGATTTATATTGAGTGATATCCGCATAAAAGACAAAATAGATAGAGGGTGTCCAAAGACATTCTACAGCCAGATTACTAGGACACGATTGCAAACAGGAATACAGCTCCAGATGCAGAACATTAAGTCTAGAACTACTTTGGATGAGACGACTCAAAATTAACCTGACACTTCTTTAATGTGTTACATAAACATACGTTTACAGCCAGTGGTGAGTTTCAGTTCGAACACAACAGTTGTCACGATCTGCGCAACCACGCCCACAGCGTCAAAATGAAATCGTCCAAGTTCTGCTTGCGCGCAAACTTCTTCACCGTCAAATTCTCTCAGTTGTGGAACAGACTTCCAGCTGAAGTGAAGGCCTCCAAATCAACCTCTGAACTTGGTCGGTTACTAGTTAACTTCTTATCATCTGGTGACTTCTATGGTTTATCGAATACACCGACAGTCTCTTCCGCGACACTTCGTATACTCGGCTCTCTTAATGTATAATGAGAGCCACCACACCTACACTGACCTTTCATACGAGGCGTTGGGGAGACTTCCATAAGTTATGACCTGAAACTGACGGCATAGTAATCAAAAATAGAAGTTCTACACTATCTGACAGCATGAAATTCATGTTCTTAAGTACTCAATAGTAAACGCACATACAATGAACGCCATAGCAAGGATAGTTAAGTAGGGAGAAGGCATGAACATAGAAAACACTCTTCTTGTCGGGATTCTTGCTTCTTTCTCCGCCTGCTGCTTTGTCTGTTTTTTCTCGTTGTAGAAAAATAATTCAGTTCTAAGTGTTGGCTAGGTCGTCATCGAGAATTAATTATTTGGGGAACAGACCTTGGTTGAAACTACCCTCCATCGAAGGTAACCAGTTTCACTGCGTTCACAATACCTAACTACAACAAGTAGAAATAAAAAAAATGTTCGCTGGACTACAACCTCATAATTATCGAAATCTAGAATTTACTCATTATAAAGTGACCAGAAAAGTCCAACACTTACCGACCGTAAGACTGTCACGACCTGTAAAAACGGCGGACAAGATTTCCTGGGAATCCACTTGGCGCATTCAAACAAGTCTATTGCTTCTGGATGCCGGAGGTGTAAAAGTGAAGACATTTGGCTTTTAGTTACAATATTCATCAAAATTATGAATCTCTGATGTGGAATGGTATTAACATGCATGAATCATACCGTTCTGGAATTGTCAATGATGTACAATAAGTAAACAATTTGTGCATACATTCCCTCATAAACTTTTCATCATTATCTCGAGCAAAGAATGCAAACTGTTGCCATGGAAGTATTAGCTTCAAACTTTATTTTTCTCCAGGTAATACGTGTAGTGATGAGATACGAGCCTGGTTTTTTTGTTAGTGCAAAGACAATACTTCCACTTGTCCAGCTTGTAAATTTTTTGCACATTTATTCTACTGTAACTCCAAATCAGTCTCTGAATTTAGTCGGTCAGCAATTAAATTCTTATCGTTAGGTAACTTGTCGGGCTTACTGAATGCACTATCACTACCCTCTGTGACATTCGGTATGCCACCGTAATCGCAGCTCTGTTTAGAATTCTGTGTTTACCTCGTTTCTCTCCGGGAAGGTTTTAAATTGTCATTTGTTGATGTTGCTGTTATTATTACTAATGTTTTTTGTGTCTGTGTCACACATCTTTTTCTGGTGACTTCGTACGCTTTTCTGGAGCACCTTGCGAGGATAATTATTGATCAGAAAGTTTTCCTCTCTAGCACATGTAAAAGAAATGGCTCAACGCCTATTCTACATAGACGCAAACTTTCACTGCGTGAAATTTACCCATCAGGATGTAAAGGAAGCACAAGTATTTCAGCGATAAGCCTCTTCTTGGTCATTTTATTTTCAAAGTTGTACAGTCGCAAATGCATACATTTTTCTAGTGTAAAGATTTGATAGTTGAAAATGGTTTGTCGAGCATGGCAACACAAATAGTGTAAATATGTGAGCTGTTATTAAAATCAAAAACTGTGATAAGTAGTGAATATTAATCAGAATAGGTTTGGATAAGAAGTTTCATGACATGACAACATAATTCGGAACCGAATTGGGATCAGAAAGAGCATAGCAACAAGAAAGAATAGCAAATTACTTAAGGAGTGAATAGTGTCAAAATTGGAAAATGAAAAGAAAGGGGTGAGGGTAGAGAAGATTTTAAAGACTGAAAACTAGGACCATGAAAGGAGAACTGAGTTGAACAATCTTCTTTTGCGTAGATAGTTCAGGTTTCTCTATATGGATGGCAAGAGCTTCGGTGATGCAGAGAATACGAAGACATACAGTCTTTGGAAGGTTCTTGAGATAGGGTAATTCGTGTTCACGATACGTTCAATTATAGCACTATGAGTATCCGAAATGGTTTTGGAAAGTTTTACGTAGAAATCATATTTATCCAAATGCTCTCTCTCAAACATCACACAATGAAACATATTGACTTCATCATCTCACGCACCCCAGAGTTAGAACGAAACACTCACAACGATCCTCTTCGCTCCTCAAATTTTCGCCAGATGAGTACAAGTTATTCACTGAATATATCACCACAATTACCAATAAAAGAACACAATGAGTACAGTCAAGCTTATTAAAAAGTCTCAAATCTGTTAAAACCCAGTGTAAATTTCTCGATGATTCCAAAAGATTTGTATTTTATCATTCTTCAGTATCACTATACAAGTTAAAGTTAGAGATCTTGTCGTTATGGCCCAAGTTTTGCAATGTTAACCAATAAATAAACAAATTTCATACACAAGTACAATTTGAAAATTTAATTAACCAAACTAGCGATCCTTTTCTAACTTCCAACCAAGAGTTTCAACGCTTCAAATTGACCATTACAGACTGCTGCCATCAATACCTCAGCACAAAATCAATGAGCCACAGTTTCTTAACAAAAGAGCACGGAGAACAACTGAAACGATTAAGATGCAACAAAGATTAGGTTGTAACACATCTGGACAAGGGTGCAGGTGTGGTTATACTAGACAAAAGTGTCTATGTAGACAAAATGGTGGCTCTATTTTCGGACGAAAAATAAATTCTACAAACCTCCTAACCAGAAAAACAGGACAGAACTAACTGAACGACAATTTATGGATGCTTCGAAAAGGCCAGAAGATGATCAACTGATAACCAAAGCTCTCTACGAAGACATCAAACCGACAGCCTCCACAATTTCACGACTTTATAGATTACCAAAAATTCACAAAGCCAGTGTACGTGTTCGCCCGATTCTAGACATATCTGAATCTCCTTACCATCCAATTGTGAAGTGGCTAGCCGAAATCCTAGAGCCTGTAAGAAGACGAACAGCCATCCACTAAGTGATGCTTTTGAATTTGTGGATTGCATAAGAGACGTAGACATATCTCATAAATGTATGATATCACCTGATGTCAAGTCACTTTTCCTCAGTATTCCACTTACTGAAACTATCTACTTCTCATGCAGATACGTAAAGGATGACAACATAACAACACAGTTAACGTTCAATTCTCATTGAACGATGTGATTTATAGACAGAAAGATGGAATCGGCATGGGATCCCCACTAGGTCCACTACTAGCAGACTGCTTTATGGTCAATTTGGAGAACGGACCCTTGAAATCAACGAGTGAAGGTTTTCAACTGTACAAAAGGTACATGGATGACGCTTTTATTATCTCTGATCATCAATATGATTTGAATCATGTACTACAAATATTCAATAACTGCCAGTAAGCATTTAGATTCATCTTTGAGGTTGAAAATCGATCAAAAATTCACTTTCTTGATGTAGAGCTGACAAGAATAGCTGATGGGACATTAAGTAGATCAATTGACAGAAAACCAATGTGAAATGGTCAACTGACGAAATTTAATAGGTAAGTCCATATGAGTCGTAAACGAAATCTTATATCTCTTGCTACTCGTATAAGACGAATCTGCAGTCCCAGTGTGTTAGAAGAGGGAATTTCTGTTCTAAAGAACATCCTGATTGAAAATGAATTCCCACAGCTCTTCGTAGAAAAAAAACATCAAGCCTAAACCTCCATATCTTACCACCGTGCCAAAAAAGACATTCTATATGAATCTAAACTTCAAAGGGGATTCCGCCACTGATACTCTAAAAAGGAGGATATCAAACGCTCTGAGGAGAACATTTTTTGCATCAACGCTGGGACTGATATTCTCTTGTCGCCCAACGAGTTCTAACAACTCAAAGGAGAAACTTTCACATCTGACCACTTTTGTGTGCATATTTCAAATCACTTGCTCCTATGGGGCCAGGTTATAGGCAGTTTGATGCGACTGTTATCCAAAAGGGTTCAAGAGCACTATCCTAAATGGTTACAAAAAGGTAACAATGGAGCGATGAGTGCTATAACTGCACATATCGTGAACACGAATTACCCTATCTCAAGAACCTCCTTGTTGAAGGTCATATATAAAGTGAAAAGAAACCTTCCAAAGACTGTATGTCTTCGTATTCTCTGCATCACCGAAGCTCTTGCCATCCATATAGAGAAACCTGAACTATCTACGCAAAAGAAGATTGTTCAACTCAGTTCTCCTTTCATGGTCCTAGTTTTCAGTCTTTAAAATCTTCTCTACCCTCACCCCTTTCTTTTCATTTTCCAATTTTGACACTATTCACTCCTTAAGTAATTTGCTATTCTTTCTTGTTGCTATGCTCTTTCTGATCCCAATTCGTTCCGAATTATGTTGTCATGTCATGAAACTTCTTATCCAAACCTATTCTGATTAATATTCACTACTTATCACAGTTTTTGATTTTAATAACAGCTCACATATTTACACTATTTGTGTTGGCATACTTGACCAACTGTTTTGGGTGACTTTAAAGGCTACCACATCAACGATGGAAATCACCAATAAGATTTCTTCATTTTGGTTGGAAATGTGGATTTTCATAAAATACAGAAGTCTGATTAGTTATTTCAGTTTTTGCTACAATGGCTTTTAAAGGTGCCCAAAATGAGTTGACTTTTAAAGGCTGACCTAGTAACTGATGTGACAACCAATTACTTTCCTTTGTTTTATAGAAAAGTATTTTCCAAGGCGAAATACTGAAGCTTGATTGGTTCATTCATCAATTACCAGTATAACCTTTAAAGTTACTCGAAAAACGTATACATTTGCAATTGTACAGCTTTGAAAATAAATTCGCCGAATGCAGACTCGTCGCACAATTTAAAACTATGTCAAGCCTTTATGATAGTGATATAGTTACATATAAACAATAAATTGTATTGAAAACATTACCAAATATATAATACTGTATTAGCGTGTGATACACATTATGGACTAACTAGAATGAAGGTACAATCTATCACAGTATGCACGTTTGTTTTACAGTAATGTTTAGTTTTCCATTGACCTTTACAAACTGATTGTATTACAATATTTGCTTGAATTTCTTATGCACAATCAAAATTTGTGAGTAAATATTGATTTAGGAATTTTCTACTCATTTGAAGTAAAGTTTGCTTTATATTTTCAGCATTTTGGTAACAATAATTCTTCTAATCAATTATTTATGGTATGATTGAATTCAATAATATCAACTATTGATTTAGGAGCACTTTCTCATTGGGAAAACACTTTCTGTGCATTCTGATATTTCGAATAGAAAATATTAAAAAAATGTAAACGTAAGCGTTTGTTTGAACCAGTTTCAAAAGATGAACTTGAAAATGCATATACTCAATTTTTATTTGGTTTATCCCAAGAGTTTGCTCGTGCTCCAATTCGTTTATCAAGGGGTGTTATTGAAGGTGATTATATTCGCCTTACCAAAATATGCGGAAAATATTTTCGTATAATGGGTTTTTCTACTGATGGATCATCTTATCTTCATCCTGAAGAAGCTTTATTTCTTACTGAATGCAATAAACTTCAAATAACTTATGAAAATCTTCCACTCAGTATTCAACAACTTTATGATCAACTTTTAAATAATGAAACATACTTACACTATATAGTTTACTGCAGATTGTCACGACTAAATTTTAGCCTTCGAAAACGTGAAATCTTTTATTCCTTTCCTATTTATCATAATCCAACAGAGAGACTGTTTAAAATTCCCAAATCAATATCCATACCACTTGGAATTCAACCAGTTTTTGACATAGAAGTTATTAACAAGACTAAAATCAAAGATTTTCAACCTCTTATTAATACGAATAAGATTCATTCACTTGCTAGTCTTATGAATAGTTTACAAAAAATTGTAATGGTGACTAATGCTGATTCTATAGGATCAAAGGGAGATTTAAACCTAGTCTATGATATGTATGGAAACAATCATACAGAAAAAGAACGTATCAACAATTTTTCGAAACGCTTCCCTGCCCATCCTGATTATGTTATATCAATTGCATCTCCAGAACAAGTTTGTCCAGATGTTGAAGCTCAAAAATTGATAAATGTTGGTTTAGAGCCTAATACATCTATTATATTGTGTATGGTCGATGGATGTGATGTTTCTTTCTATACGATGAATCACTTTGAGATACCAAATCTCAGTTTTGAAATAACTCACCACTCAAATACACAATCTTTGTAAGTATGATGTAAATAAATGACTTTTATTTTTATCCTCACTTCTTATTACTGGATTGTTTAAATTGTGTTGAAATTTTGAAAATAAGGAACATCCTTACATTTTGACATTACTTTTAGTTTACAGTATGCTCAGTAAACTTTCTAAATGGATTCATTTACGAAGAAAATGGATATGAATGGTTATTCTTAGATCGAGTAATTTATTCTTCGCATTACGACAAGTCGAAGAATTCAAATTATTTCAGATACTAAATTTGTACGATGAAAAAGATTATTTAACGTATATGTTGTGGTAATATACTTGTATGATTATGAACGACGTCTAGATTATGGATATTGTGTTAATTAGGTGTTTTCCCAACGTACAGTCACTCGCGGGAAGCTTTAAAAAGTATACGTGAGTGTCTCAACTATAGTTTTTTGGGTGTATAGCCGATGAGATTTCTGCACGGATACAAAAGGCTCAATTGGCTTTTGCCAATTTGCGCCACCTATGGCGCCGCCGTGATATTCGTTTGTCTATTAAGGGTCGCGTGTACTGCACAGCAGTCCGCTCTGTTCTACTATATGGCTGTGAAACATGGCCATTGAAAGTGGAGGATACAAAGAGGCTTCAGGTGTCTGACCACCGTTGCCTTCGTAAAATAGGACGTACTCCGTGGTGTCACCATGTGAGTAATGCAGAAGTTAGGTGTAGAGTTTTGGGGAGTAGAGGTAAGTCAGTTGACGAGGTTATGAACCTTCATCAACTGAGATGGTTGGGACACGTACTACGTATGCCTAGTCACCAATTGCCCTGTCACACAATGTTGGCTGAGGTGGGTCCAAGTTGGAAAAAGGCTCGAGGTGGCCAGACTAAAACATGGCACCAATGTATGAAGTCTCTGACTGTTGGTTTAAGCCATGTGGGGCGATGCAGACTAGGTGGTTGGGGTCGGCGGGACAAGAGGAACCAGTGGTTGGAGACCCTAGGTGATATTGCTCAGAACCGATGTGAGTGGCGCAGATGTATGCCCACACACATTATCCTCATCTTAACAACGCTATACCGAATCTCACTATTTTGTCACTCCTCTTTCCTTTCTTCTCGTACTTTATATTTCTTTTGACTGTATTCGCTTATCTTCATCCTTCACCTTACTACCTTTCTACTTGATGAACTGACGTGAGGTGTGGCAACTCGGACCGTTACGCAGTAATGCCTGGTCCTATGTTGATAATGATGATGTATAGCAACTCTTAAAGAAGGTAAATTAGTGGTATGACCTTTTTTATCGATTGGCAGGGCTGGAACATACTGACCCACAATTTATTTTGATTGTGTACGTTAGCTGGAAATGTGTAGACAGGCTAAGACCTGGCAACTAATCGATAAAGTCTCGATCATGCAAGAAAATGTATCATTTTCTGATGTGTTTGAAATATGATGTGTAATATATATATATGTTTTACGTTGTGTCTTCTGTTTTCTGATAGTTTAAAGGGGTGGGAGAAAGGAAGGTAACACAAACAAACGAAGTGCTTAACGAAGTAAAGAAATGTAATGCATATTTGAAATGCACTGAGTAACCACGTGGAGTTGGCAATGAGCAATCACACCTATTGCGTGAGGGTTGATCAGATAGAGTGGGACTCTAGCTAGTGACCTGTTGGTTGAAAGTCAAGTGCCTAGATCAATGAGCCACAACTCCAGCAACAAAAATGTGTGACGGGAAATGTGAAAGTTAGACACGAGGAATGTTTTATTTAACTGCTAACTGGCTATTAATACTGTATACGTATAGACTACTTTTATGTATCTGTTTTCTATCAATTACCGGTTAAGTAACATATTCTTCACTGGATATAAAATAGTAAACAATGCTCATCATTTGACCCTAACTAAATGTATTTTACATAGGCATAGCTTAGGAGATGTAAAGTGTGTGCTAGGGGTAGTATCTGTTAACACTATGCTAGCAGATCGCAGTTAATATCAAAATACGACTTGCCTGCACTGCATAACGATACAAATTAAAGAGATGAAAGATATACGATTAGGAAAAATAAGTGTAATGTAAGGTGGTAGTATATCATAAACAGAGGGGTGGGAGTAGTAAGACAATAACGAAATGTGACATAATGGCTAGGTTAAAGTTAATGTGAGGATACATCTTCACCACTAACATCAATTCACAGCCATATAACCTGAAGTCTCTAACCACCAATTTCGATTGTCATGTGGGCATCAACCGCGAAGTCTCTATTTTACTGCATAGCTCAGATTAACATGCATGGACTTTATGAACTAATATCATATTTTAATGTGTTCGCCGTTGACTTCTTACCGATTTGAACCTACTTCAGAATAAACGATGATCAGGCACGCGTTACACATGTCACAGCCATCTGAGTCGATGAAAGTTTACTACCCCCAGATCATATGACTCGGAACTTATCACTTCAGCTTCATTCAACCCTTACCTTGACTGACTGACAAAATCAACATAGAACCTCGCACACAGGTGCGTCAGCTCAAGTTACCTACCACACCTTCCAGTAGAACACAAGGAACAGATGAATAGGAAAAGAATAACATCAAATTAGACGAAGTTGTGTGACGGAATAAACAGTCTGAAGATAAAGGCTAGTGGGAATATTCAAGCTTTAGAAGATGTCAAGAACTGAATACAACTGTACCACTGTGACCGATTTTCAGCCTTGTCACTAAGATCCCTCAACCACTGATTCTTTTAGTCTCGGGGACTCCAACCAGGCAGTCAACACCAATCCACACGGCCCAGTTCAACAGTAAGGGACTATATGGACTGGTATCATACCTTGGTCTGGCCAACCTGAACACTTTTCCAACCTAATCCAACTTCCTCTGGCATGATACGCCGGGGTAGGCGGTGGCTCGACATGCACAGCACATGTCCAAGGCACCTCAGTCGATGAAGGTTCACAACCTCGTCAATCGACTTGCCTAGTATCCTTCGCCTGACTTCCGTATTGCTCACCATACTCCGACTGATAGCTGCTACCTTGACGTGGTGGTTGGGCTTGTATATCACAATGACGCAACGAGTTATGCTGGTGGAACACTTGTTCCCTCGAAGTCCTACCATACCAGAAAGGTCTGTTGGATAGCTGTTAAACGAAAAGCAGTTAGCGTTGTAGTGTGAATTACTAGACTATGATGGAGGTTTAAGGGCAAAGTTGTACTGCTGCTAGCTGGATGTGACAACAGTAAGGTGTTCCCCTTGGATGACCAACAGCGTCACACTGATGATTCCTTCCCAGCGGAAAGAGGGGAGTTAGAAAAGGTCGCCCCGAAAATAGCACACTTCTTCCTGCTCCATGGTCTTCCGGAGCTGGCTGTATGGGTCCTCTCTAGCTGATGTTAGAACAACCGGACCTCAACCCCTACCTTGATCAATATGTAGTAGAAAAATGGAACTAGTCATAACGAAATTAAATATCACATTTAAGAAGAGATGAGGAATCAAACGAACTGATATCTATAGAGAGTGAAAGCATATTTTATTCCTATTTTTCATGCAAGAAATCTTTCACTGGTTGATGAGTAGACAGGTTGTTGATCAACACATGTGCCGAAATGGATAAGATGTAATATGACTGAATGTTAAGTGTTTACAAAATGATATTATTGATGAATTGCACTGGAGTTATGATGAGTTGATGTGTCTAGCCTTCTGAATCGGACAAGAGTTTTAATGACTGCTTTACAAAGATATATTGGATGCGTCAATCAAAGAGACATCTGTCTATCCAGTTCAAATTTGTAGTGACGCTAAAGGTTACTTTAACAAATACTGAAATAGCCAATTACATGTCTTTATTTTGCGGAAAACTGGCTTATCAGCTAAAATGAAGGAACATAATTCGTTGCTAGAGTGACTTAAATCCTCAGTTGGATAATACGTCTGTGTGAGTTCGGGATAGTGTGATAATACAAATTGGAGCTAAAATTCTAGTTGTTTCTGCTGAAATCTGGGTTAAAGAGTTCTGTTCGATACTCGTTATGGAAATTGATCCATAGTTCTGTTTCAAAGATAGCATAAGTTATGACTACCTTCACAAGGTAATATGGGTGAGTGATAGTTGAGAAAACTGGTCAGTTATTTGTTATCGTATTAAGTGAAATAAAACTACCACTTAAAAAACCTGAAAGAAGTGCAGGTTTTATTTATTCCATGTTTTATACTTAATAATATGCGCCTAGTCAAGCGTAAAAGCAAAGTTATCTTGGGTCAACGGATTTCTCACCAATAAAATGTAAGAGTATCGTTATGTTTACTTTCACACTATCAACTACAGATCCGTGTCTTGGGTTCTCGTAATGTCTTTTCACTTCTCTTAATTCTCTCCATTTATGGTGTTTTGGATTACCGCAACATGGAGCTATGGACTTTTATGCGAGATTCTACGTTGATATCTTTGTTTCTGATTGGTTGATACACAAAGTTTTCCTTGCTATTCAATCAGGAAGTTTCAATAATATTTTTAGAAATTAATTGTGAATCTTCAACTTTTGGTCTTTGAACATCTCAGGTTTCTTTCTGTAACGCGAAACTGCCTGACAGTAGTTGATGGACCATTTGTCATTCCCATAAATTTTTGAAAACCATTAAAGTTGATTTCTCATTGAAAAAAAATAACTGCTGTTATATGTATCATGTCCTGAATAATTTAAGTAGTACTATAATGATCACAGCTGGAAAAGTATGAATTCTAGAAAGGATGAACCCAGTAGAGTTCATTGATCCAGCGTTGTATCGATCGAGCTAGGAGTACTATTTTCTAACCAGGTCGCAATCTCACTTGAATTCCGTTAATGCACTAATGTCAAGGCACTGCTTCTATGTGATGGTTGAGAGATTTGGCGCGTTACGAAAAGCATTTCCAACAAACTACAGACATTCATCAACACCTGCCGCCTACGCTCCACCCTGAAGATAAGATGACCAGAAAGAATAAGCAACTAGGAACTCTGGGCTGGCAAAGAACCAACCAAGAACTCATCGCGCAACAAATATGCAGAAGAAAGTGGATATAGGTTGGATTGGGCATACACTGAGAAGACCATTCGGAGACATCACGCGCCAGGCCCTCGAGTGGAATCTGAATGGGAAACGACGAGTTGGGCGTCCGAGGCGAGGGTGACATGTGTGAGGAAGAAATGAAAGCTTGTGGGCAGTTGTGGAGCCAGGCTGAAAAGACTGCAGAGAAGAGAGTGCAATGGAGGCGTGCTACTGAAGCCCTTTGTTCCACTAAGAACCCAAGGGACAAGTATAATAATAATACATAAATTACACACCATATAATATCCGAGTTGAATATATGGTCAAGGCTTGATCAGAAGACTATAGACTGATGTAGTGCTGTTTCCAGATGAGTTCAGTGTTTCCTTCGTATCTAAATGAAACTTGAAGTTGTATTCCTGCTTACATGGTTCTTTTTATTCTGCATGCTTTCTTTTCTGCTTCGATGACAATAATCCTCTGGTATTTTGAGGTGGATAAATCCACCTGGCACAATCTATCAGCAAAGAGTAGAAGCGTGGTGCTGTAGAACACTATTAATCCATGTCAAAGTGATATGACGATAGGTGATAATTTATATTCAGAACGTTACTTAGGAAATAGGCCCATCGTCATCAAGATCAACGTAGGACCAGGCATTACTGCCTAACGGTCCAAGTTGCCACACCTTATATCAGTATATAAAGTAACACGGCAATGAAATGAAAGATAAAGGAAAGGAAAATCGGTCAAAGGAAGTAGTAAAAGAGAGGAAGGAATAATATAGTGATGAGGTTAAGATAGGGATAATGTGTGTATACATCTGTGCTTCTGACATCGATTCTGAGCCTTATCACCTAAATTCTCCAACCGCTGGTTTCTCTTGTCCCGCGGACCCCAACCGGCTAGTTTGTATCGCCCTACATGGGTCAATGGAACAAGCAAGGACTTCATGCATTGATGCTATATTTTAGTCTGGCAACCCCGAGCCATTTTCCAGCCTGAATCTACCTCAGTCAACACTGTGTGATGAGGCAGACGGTAGTAGTTAAGAAATAAGCTGGATCCCTATGCTCCGTATTCTTGCGAAAACCGTGAATCCTGGTTGTGCCTTCGGGCTACATACATCATGATACTTGTCTATTGCAAATGTAGCTTGTCGTGCTCAAAACTGTTTCCAAATCCATATCCACTACGTATTTAACTTACATTCTCATCCTTTAGACATCAGTTGGTATCCAAAACGGTAGTGTAGTGCATTTAAAAAGTCGTTTTCGATGATAAACACCACAGTTGTATTTTATAGCTACTTTGCTGTATGCTAGATATAATAAGAACGCATAAGTGGTATACAGTACGATCATCATCAGTTTTCAGGGAACATACAGGGAAAAGTGGAACAAACTACTGAAGGTGAATATTGTAACAACAGAAAGCGAAGGAGAATTCGTCTCGAATCCGGTACACAGAGATACTATTTACACGAACTGTGCTGAATTTCGGGTTTTGGTTTTTTATCAGTTTTCAAAGTAATTGACTAATTAGAAAATTTGGCAGTCGCCACCGGTCTTGTTTACTAATTTGTTAAATTTCTGTTCCCACAATATCACACAAATTTTATGTAGTCTTCACCCAAGGACAGTATATCCGTATTAAGAAAAAAACTCTACTATCAAACGTAATAAGTTAAGGATCACTTGTTCATACTTGTAAAGTTTTCTAATCATATCACTACATTCTACAATGGACTGTTGTTATACTAGTTTGCGTCAGTGTTAATCAGTGGTGTGTCCGAAAAAATTTAGTTCAAAACGTGAAACTATTCTGATCAATTAGATAGAACTACTTTGGTGTTTCTTCACTATTCCTGCCAATATTATTTTGTCTGAATATTGCATTCCGTTTCGTTTATAAAACCTCTATCACAGCTCTTTCCACATAAGATTATGCGTTTAGTTTCTATAAATGTACCGTTTATATTTAGGTCTCATCTTCCATTTTATTACTGGTGCACATAAATACCAGTGGACAGCTTAATATGTGACAATGTAGCATATCGGGTCCATCTCTATATGAGTACAAAGTGGGAAAATCAACAGACGAAATAGGAAATAGTGACAAATTTATTGCGAAAAGAAACTGGAATTAGTCGAAGGGAAGGAAATAAAATACATGCAATGATAAAACATAAAAGACTGATAGATGGCTTGTGGTCACTGGTTTGAATCCGGCCGCGGTCCAAATTTTCATTTCACCGTCAATCATTACCCAGTATAAATACTAATCTACCAAACCACGGCTATCTCACATAGTCAAAATGATAATCAATATGATGCTCCCCATCTCTAATTCAGTTAAATTTGGATTGGGATGAGAAGTACTGACTGGTAGGCAGCCAGTGTTAATACGATCAAGCGGTAGTAATGCATCATAAATTAACATGGTAGTCAGGCAAAACCCATGGTGACTGAAGTGAAATAAAAAATCGTGGTGAACAGTCGAACCTCGTAGCTCAGTTGGTAGAGCATCGGGCCAGAAACCCGATTGTTACCGGTTGGAATCCGTCCCCACTCCAAATTTTCATTCCATTTGCAATCATCATCTAGTATCAAATGAAAATGTGTAAAATAAAAGTAAACACATGAAGAAGTATGAATCATGTGATGTAACAAAAGTATTGAGAAAGACATGTATAATTGTGTAGTACATTTTAGTCAATCACGAGTATTGCAATATTTACCCAGTGAGAGAGGCTATACTAAATATTAGCATTTCTCAACAATACTACTGGACTCTCTCGAAGGAATTTTGAATGCAGACATTATCCTCTTGAAAAAGTAATGGCAACTTAATAGCCAATAAGCCATATCTATTATGTGTAGCGTAGTGATACACCTTGTTTGTAGGTGAAGTGCGGTTCGAATAGATGGACTACACATATAGATGAATTAAAATTGCGCAACCCAATAAAAATTTATAAAAGAAAAAGTGAGTTCATTTTCTTATCAATCTTTTTGTTAGAATAGAGTGAAATATTATTCAACTGCATAAATCAAACATGAAAAGCAGTAAATAAAACTGAAAACAGTTCTAAAAGAAAATAAAAGCCAAAACATGCAAGCCGTTCCCTCCATGCTTATAAATATGCTTGCGTTTTCGAAATTTAATGTGACAATAAATAAAACATAGAAATCGAAATATATATTGTTTCAGTCAAATGATAATATTTCAAATTGAAAGTTTGTCAGCTTAAAAAAATGTTTGCATGTTGAAAGTTTTAAATAAGTAGCAGTTTATACGCCAACTCCTGGTACAATTGATGGTGACTGCTGACGTTGATGTTCCCGCATTGTTTCACGCTCAAGTATCTGTAATTATTCGAAAAGAAAGTAGAGTAAACTATCACTAACAGTTTCAATCAAAAAAGATTAGTCTGTGATGCACCACTTCATGTTTTTGTTTGTCGTGTCTTCTCTGAGCTGGGTTGTTTAATCGTGGAGCTATCATCGTCTTTCTAGACTACATCATCAGCACCAACTTCAGTATGAAGTGAGCTGTTAACACCTCTCCGTGATTCAGTAACTTGCCCTGAAGAATTACTTTGTGACTGGTTGTTTCCTTTGATTGTTGCGTCATTGACTGAATAGATTTTCCTGTTGGCTGCTCTTCTGCTTGAACTCTGACTTTTCTGTCATTTGTCATTTTTCTTTTTGGTTGGTAGATTGGGTCTATGTCTATACATCCGTTGATGTCTGACTGATTGATTCCTGGATGTCAAGCTTCTAGGAATTCTCTGATATTCCTTGTGTTTCCTCTGTTCAAGATTTCTACATTGTCAAAATTGAATTCATGTTCATGATTATCCACATGCATTTAAATGAGTGACGAAATGTCGTATGTGACGTTTAATAGGCAATTGGTGTTCATGTAGACGAAGGTGAGGAGGGAGACCACTTTGTCCAATGTAGTGTTGGCTACAGTTATTGCAATTGATTTTGTAAATGACATTCTGCTTGTCTTTTCCGGTTGTCGCATCCTTTGGTCTGCAGAATAGTGTTTGGAGGGGATTTGTTGGTTTATGAGCCACACCAATTTTAAGTGGTCTCAGTGATCTTGTCGTGATTTCTGATATATTTTTTATGTATGGTAGGATGATGCGTTTGTTTATTTCTGTCGATGACTTTGTAGTTGATGATGTGCGGGATAGGCATCTTCTGATACAGTTTTGTGGGTAGCCGTTGTTTTTTAGGATAGAAAACGAGTAATTTTCTTCGTTTCTCCGTGAAGTTATTGTACTGCGGTATGTTCTCGTCCTTTTGAATAGAGTCTGCGCTCAACTAATTCTGTGCATTGTTGGGTTGTTACTACTGGAGTTGAGGATTCGGTCAGTGTGTGCTGGCTTCCTGTACACTTGGGTTTCCATCTTATGGCATTTGTCCTACTGACTAAAACATTGAGGAATAGTAGTTGGTTGTTTGACTCCTTCTCCATTGTGAATTTGATGTCATTGAAAACGTTGTTGATCAAACTGTGAGTGTTTTCTATTTCATCTTTTTTAATGATGACAAAAGTGTCGTCCACATAGCGAATCCAAATTTCTGGTTGAATCATAGGTAAAATGATGTCTCCTAGCCTCTGCGATTAGTCCGGATCTCGGTGATCCCATTGGAGTTCCTTTCATCTGTTTGTATATCTTGTCATTGAATTAGAAGTATGTTGTCACACAAAGGTCGATGAGTTCCATCAGACTTGAACATTTCAGTTTTGTGCGTTCTAAAAGGCTTGTGTCTTCAATGAGCAGGAGAGATATAGTTTCCTTGGCCAACTGTGGTTTGACTGATGTATATAATACTGTGACATCAAAGGACACCGTTAGTTCGTAGTTTTCTATACTAATGCTTTTGATCTCTTCTAAGAATTCTGTTGATGATTTGATGGAATGTTCGCACGGTTGAACAAGGTATTTCAGTCTTCTCGAAAGTTGTTGATATGTTGTATGTTGGAGTTCCCGGAAATGAAACTATTGATCGTAGAGGGATGTCTGGTTTGTGTATTTTTGGTCTGCTGTGGAACTTAGGAAGGACAGATCCATTCTATTTCATTCGCCATTTGTCTTGCTTTGTTATTTCTTCTACCTTGAAGAGTTTGTTCAAGGTTTTATTGGTCTGGTTGTCGAATTTTTGGATAGAGTCGGTTTCAAGTGGTTGATGCACATTCTCGTTGTTGAGTAAATTCTCTGCTTTCTTGATGTAGTCTTATTTGTCCATGACTACAGTGATGCGTCCTTTGTCTGCTGGAAGTGTAACATATCTTCTCTATTTCCCAGTCTTTTTAATGTTTTCTGTTTTTGAGTGTTCGTTTGAGCGTGATATCTCTTCTGCCTGGTCAGTGGTACGATTGTTTGCCATATTTCTTGTTGAGTGACCTCATTTAATCGCCCATTTCGATGCACGTGGATTATTATGGACATTACTCCAACTTTGACAACGTAGAGGGATCTTGAACAGAGGGAACATAAAGAATATCAGAGAATATTCCTGGAAGATTGACATCTAGGAATCAGTCAGTCAGACATCAACGGATGTATACACATAGACTCAATCTATCAACCAATAAGAAACATGACAAACAACAGAAATGTCAGAGGTTAAGCAGAAGGATAGCTAACAAGAAAATCTGTACAGTCAATGACGCAACAATCAGAGGAAACAACCAATCACAAAGTAGTTCTTCAGGGCAAGTTACTGAATCACTCACGGATAGGTGTTAACTGTTGATGGTGTCGTCTAGAAAGACGATGATAGCTCCACGATTAAACAACCCAGCTCTGAGGACACAATGCAACCAAGATCATCCACCTGAGCCACAAATATTCCCCACGATTTCGGTTTCATGTTTTAAACTACGCTTCGCAGTTCGGAAACCAGTAAACTTAAGCTCAAAAATCATAAATACACAAATCAGCATAGAATCTGATATGAAAGTGTATCGGTCGAAGTTGTCAAGCTTGACGGTACCCCACAAAGAGGAAGTATATAGGAAAAGAATAACACTAAAGTGGACGAAAGTGTATCATAAGAGAGAGAATGAGTTGATATATGTTGGTAAGGTTGTTCAAGATAGCAAAGTGTATGCATTGGCGATGTTGTAACCGATTCTCAACCATGTCACCAAGTGTCTTTGAACATTGATTCTTATTATCTCGGCAACTCTAATCAGGTTTACTACATCTCCCTAAATGGCTCAGACCGACTTCATAGTTTGGTGCAACGTCTAACGATCTAATCACTCATAACTGTCTTACCACCCAATACCACTTTAAGTAACATTATATCAGCCAGAGAACCATCGGAAATCTAGGAAAAATATACAACTCTTTTATCCCAGTTTGAGAATTATCGGTAGTGGGCATCCACAACTCTTTGTGTGTCTGAACCCAATGTCTTTAGGATTTTCAGTTTGTATGTTACCACTCAACCTCTTATTCGCCATCCAATAGCCTAGGTTTTACAACTGTCGATCCCTGATACAGCGTGAATATCATCCAATGCCATTGAAGAGTACTTGTCGACATACCCACTGGTCACGGTTTATCCCTAGAACTTTGTCAATCCCCATCTCGAAGCAAGTCACCAGCGAACATCGTATTGCTATTCAGCTCCCAGTGGTATATAAGAAGGCTTCCCTTCAACAGAAGATTCAAATCAACTTTTTAAAACAAGGTAACAGGTACTATTTAGATCGGGTCAATTTTTAGTAGTCAACCGTTTGGTTCAAAGGAACAAAATCTAACAAACCGTTAAAACACTGTGTAGTTTATTTTTGATTAGGTGATATAACTAAGAACTGAGTGATCATTTAATTTCTAGGATAAAACATGGTCATATTTGTCTTCAGTTTATTTAGAAATCATCTTGTGATGCGAATTCTTCTTCAGCCTTAATCATTATCTCCGCTTACGATTGGCTATTTTGGCGCCAGGATGCCTTACTATCCATCCCACTTGAAGTTTATCTACTGAGTTATCAAGTTCATTAGAAAGAAGCCCTGATTAATATCGGCAAGTGGAGTGGAGTGAAAAAGTAGGAAATACTACACACCCGCACTATTCATCGTATCCCATTGGTTCCATCATAGAGTTTTTAAAATAACCGAGTATTACTTACGTAAGACTTTCAAGTTAGGATTGTAGCACTATCCTAACAACGTTTTGTGATTTTTTTAGGTGGGTATCAAGAGATTTTTTACTTCGCGAATCACTTTGACTGAATACGTGATTCACTCTGCATTGAATTCTAAATATTGTTAGACATCATTTGAACATGAATCGATCAAATGATTTCTCTTTCAACCTGTGAAGAATTGAAGACAAGACCAACGCCACTAATCATATTTATTATTGGGAATCTGACTGCATGTATTATCTACGTCAGAATCACACGCAGCGTAACACAAATCATACATAGAAAACAAGGCTACACGTACTAATTAGATTTCTCTAAGAGGTAGTTATATTGCGAACTTATGAGTTGTACAGAGCATACATGGGAGCTCTTGAGTTAGGTAGACTATACAGTAGTAATGTAAAATAAACAAAACATAACAATGTAATCGGATGAGTAATACTTGTGTCAGCTTCATATTTTCCTCTCTTCGGCTTCTGAAACACTTCAAATTTTAGTTGGTTGGGGGCAATCGATAGGATTCGGTCTGCACTCAGGACTAGACAACATGAAATTGGTTGTACTCCCGTGATCAATCAATACATGTAAGCCAGTCCTACAGGAGGTCAATCGCGGCCCGAATAGCTCAGTGGTAAAGTCGCTGACTATAACACTGGGTGATGCAGGTTCAAATCTCAGGCGGGACATCAGTTCCGTCGAGAATTGTACAGGGCTTTCTGCCGATTGCCTCCAACCAACTAGCATCTACTAATGTGCACCGCGATGCTGAACTTCCTAGCTTGGTTGCCACATTGCAAACATGATCGATAGGATTCGGTCTGCACTCAGGACTAGACAACATGAAATTGGTTTCACTCCCGTGACCAATCAATACAATTCAGATTTTCTATGGTAATGTCTGTCTTCAATGTGATTTTTAATTACAACTATAACTTGAAACATGCATTAGGAAATAAGATTGAATAGTTATAATGTATAACATCAACAGAGAATGAAGTTTTTACTCGATTTCAATGCCTGCTAGCAGTCATCAGTGTGTGTATCTCCAAACTCAAAGCTAATTGTACTTTCCAATCAATCTAAATACGTATCGTTTAGTAATTCAGTCAATAACGTTACCATCTCTATTTTTCGGTTACAGTTAACTCTCATTCAGTAGTAAGCTATTTTTTGTTTAGTTGGGCAAAGTACAACCTGTAGATATATGAATTCCTACAAAATATAATCAGTCAACCATTTAGTCAATATGAACACAAAACTGAACAATAACTGCGTAACGATCCAAGTCGCCAAATCGTACATCAACATACAAGGCATAATCAAAAATAGAGAAATAGGGAATAGAATATTATCGAAAATCGTAGAGATACATAATAATAAGATGGGAAGAGAAGGCAGAACAAAAAAGAGATGGAATATGTCAATGAGTCATCAACTACTGATTACGGTTGTTATATGGAACCGGAAATTCTTTATTCCCATATACATTTGAGACAAAAACTTATAAAATCTATGAACTGACGCCACGTTCTAGTCTGTTCACCTCTGACCTTTTTAACCGGTCTAAACCAACCCATTTTAGTTGACATCATGTGTCAGGGTGAATAGTAACTGGTCATAACGTAATACATGCCCCAGCTATCATCTTATAAAATAATTAATCAGAAATAGTACAGAAAAAATTTAATTTGTTTGCATTTTAATCAATGATGAAGTTACTTTCAGAGCTTCTCGTCTTCTGTGTTCCAATTTAGCTATCTGATGTACAACAGAAGCAGGTGTATGTGGAATGAGGGCACTAATTGTAGCACGTGCAATAATTATTACATGCTAGCAATAAAACAAATTAACAATGGAAAATATCATTAAACTTTCATCATACCATTGAAATTCAATATAATAATTTAAATAACTAGTAATTTAGGTCTGTGAAAATAATTTAAGTGCCGATCTAGATAAACAATTACCCACAGAAATAAGCTCAAATATCATTTCAACCTGTGATATTTTGTACAGAACAAGCTGTACATAATCAACACAGTTAGTGAAAGGGAATGTTAGAGCGTAATATAGTGGAGAGAGTGATCAACAAATATTGAATAATACGGCGGCCTGCTTAAAATTTCAAGCAAAATTACTCCTTTTGTATTTGTTTTAATTATCCAAATGTCAACAAATCATAAAACGCACTCTTGCACATTTTTAAAGATCTCTTCGACCTATAGTCATACATGTTAACAAAAAAAAAAGTATGACGGTAGATGGCAGTCGGCTCTTGAGTACACAACAGTTCATCACATAGCTATTACAGGAATAGTTAGCAAGAAGTGTAAATTTTTATACTGACTCATATGATCCTTCACCACTAAACCTACGGGTGCTTTTCTATTCATGGACCCGTACAACAACGTGCTTACAAACCAGACGATAACCTAGAACAACTGGCAGTCATGCATTATTGCTTACCATACTTTTATTATTAACATTATTTAACTGGGATAGTTATTTAATTTGAAAATACTGAACAAGAAGTAGATTTGTTGAAGTATCACACTGAGAATTCCACACTATTATTATTATTATTATTTGTTCCTTGGGTTCCTAGTGGAACATAGGGCTTCAGTAGCACGTCTCCATTCCACTCTGTTCTCTGCAATCTTTTGAACCTGGCTACACGACTACCCAGAAGGTTTCATTTCTTCCTCACACCATCTCCTCCATGTCACCCTCGGATGCCCGACTCACCGTTTCCCATCTGGGTTCCACCCGAGTGCCTGGCACGTGATGTCCTCGAATGTTCTCAGTGCATGCCCAATCCATCTCCACTTCCTTCTGCATATCTGTTCTTTGTTGTTTCGTTAACAGTCAGTGTTCCTTGTTGCTTATTTTTTCTGGCCATCTTATCTTCAGTAAAGAGCGTAGGCAGTTGTTCATGAATGTCTGTACTATTTTGGAAATGCTTTTCGTAACGCGCCAAGTCTCTGGACCATATAGAAGCACTGACTCGATACTATATTAAAAATTATTGTCTAAAATCGTTTAGCAAATGAACTTGTTTTTTTCCAGCTATTTAAGACTTGTATCCTATTTCATTAAAGGACATTAAGAACTTTCTCAGCTTTTCTGCTAGAAGGATTAGATTTTCCCCTGCCATTGGACAGTAATCATATTGGAATTTCCACTTTGCGTGCTATTTTCTTCTTTATAGCTTATTGGAAACGCTTACCTCTTTCTATCTTCCTCTTCTGTTATGCATTTTTTTTGCTTCAAAGTTTTCGTAATGAAATATTCATAAGTTTGATGTGTAACCTTGCTTTTTACCTTCGTTTTGAAATGGGAGAGATTTCGACTGAAAGCAATAGCCTTTGCGGGTTTTTCTTCCTTTGTGTATGTAAGTGTCACTCGTAGTCCATACTAGTATTCACATGTACTCAATGCTATAGGTTCGAACTCTCACGAGATCGTGAGTGCGTACCTCTGAGGAGTCTACGACAATAACCGCTATCCAGTGCTCCGAGGTTATTAACGGTCCCAGTCCATAAAGAATATTATCTTAAAATAAATAGGTCCCCAAAAAGTTATATTGATCCTGGTGACTAGCAGAGAAATCCAGGATGTGCGTTTCGACGTATTTCGGAATCGTCAGCTGGATGTACCTGCACCTCAGTGAGTGATGTTTTTCTCACTGAGACTGAAACCCAGTACTGTTCGCTTCAAACGTTAGAGCGTTATCTACTGGTTCGAACCTCAGTGGGTACAACATCACTAATTGGAGTGGAGGTACATCCAGCTGAAGATTTCCAAATGGAAAGAAACGTGCATCCTGGATTCATCTGATAGTCACCAAGATCAATGTAACATCATAAATATCCGACAGTATCGAGGCATGAGCATAATACGCCATCTGCCAACAGACGTCAAGCAATCCCGCCCTGTGTAGAGAAACAGGAAATCACAAAAAATCCCCACAAACTAAATATATCAATATGATCAACTGTTTCTTCACATCTTTTCAAAAAAATAAGAAAAAATTTCTGAGAATTTTTAAAGCATAAAATTATTTTGTCAATACCTTTCTTTGAAGAGGAATCCATATTCATAATAAAGTCAGTATACATAAATAGTGTTTGAATCGTTGGAGACGAAAAAAAACAAGAATTGGGATTGAAGAGAACTACTCATAAACATTCTATTACCTCAACCATTTATACTTACTTCGATGAGAACCAGCAAAATTATCAACTGTGGAGTAGACAAATTCGGAAAAAGACGTTGTGCAGCTCCAGATATTCCAAGTAAAGCTATATTCACAATTACAGCTATATAGCTAAACACATCTAATGCTAACTGTAACAATTTAAAACAATAAGAGAGAAGAAAAAAAACAGTACAGTATTAAAAATTGGTAAAGTGTGAAGAAGGCAGTAAAGTTCCATTGTATAAACATATAAATTCACTCACATTCATGCAGTAGGCGATGGGTCATACCTATTGTATGAAGGCTAATAATACTGCCTAGCTTCCCAAATCTCGGTAGGCGGAGTACGGTTTGAACCCGTGACCCACTTGTTTGAAGTTCAGTGCCTGAAACCAAGAGCCACAGCTTCGAGTACACTTGTAGGACCCATAAAAGTTGACTGCGTAATTCATAAACATGTTATAGTCCACGGTTTTACGAATTCATATTATGGTTGTACTGCTGCACGAAAAACTACCTCATTATTATAACCGCCTAAATATATGCAGGGTCTTCTGGACACGTTGAGCATAAATCTGAATGTTTGACATGCGTTCCGCACCTGTCAAATGTTAGATGATGCTCCAGGACTGGTCAGTTGCACACAATCCCAGTTTAATGATAGGGAGTGAAGTGATGGTATGTGTCTACCACTTCATTTACTTGGGGAGTTGTATCAGTCCGAACGAGTTGGTTGCTGACGTAATGTCAGCTCGGACACACAAGATTTGTTCGGCATTTTCTAACCTGGATCACCTGTGGTGCCGGCGAGATATTCGATTATCTATCAAAGGATGAGTATATTGTTCTGCGGTTCGTTCTTTCCTGTTGTACGGCTGTGAGACGGGCGTTGAAAGTAGAAGACATGAAGCGATCACAGGATTTCGATCATAGGTCTCTTCGTAGCATTACCCGCATTTGGTAGAGTCACAGTGTGAGCAATGTTGAAGTCAGGTGAAGGGTATTGGACAAAACAGGCGAGTTGGTTGATGAGGTTGTGAACCTTGGTCGACTAGGATGGCCTGAAAATTAACTGCGCATGCTGAGCCATCATCTGCCTTGACGTGCCATGCTAGGGGAAGTTGGATTATGTTGGAAGACGGTTCTAGGGGGCCAGTCCAAGACGGGGGTTTCGAGAGGAAAGGAATTAGTGGTTGAGGACTCTTAGTGACATGGCTGAAAATCAGTCACAGTGGCCTAGATGTATACAATCCTTGACATCTAAAGTTTCAATATTTATACTATCCGTTATCTCTAGGTTGTTTATTCTCTCACGCTACTTTACCTGCTTTGATCCATCTGTTCTTTGTATACCACTGTATAGTGTGATAACTTGAGCTGATACACCTGTGTGCGATGTTCTACACTGATTTTTCAAATCAATAAAGTATATGAAATAACACTGTGGTTTGGAGAGCTCTATACTATATCCAAAGGCATAATAATGAGTAAGATAATCATTACTGGATATTTGAAAGCAGTCAGTGCAAAAACCTTATTCGATGACCATCTAAAATCATATTGAAATAATTATTAAAAAAACCCAGTAAGACTTACTTGCCAAACACCGATATTACTTGCAAACTTGGCAAATGGACGTTGATAACTAGTTGACAATTTGTAGGCATCACCTCGTATTTCAATTAGATTGTTAATGAATGCCAATAAACCGGCTAATGGGAATATACCAGCAAACATACTCACATAGCCAAACTGGATAAACATCTCAAGAAAATCATCTGTTGGATCTTCATACTATGTGGCAAATGATTAAAAAGAGGAGTAGAAATATTCAGTTGTATGAAAGTTGGAGTCCTTCAGCAATGAACTATACATTCATTGAATAATAAATAGTGGTGTTTATCCAAACTGCTTAATGTTATGAGTCATATGAACGACATGACTTCGAATTTAAAATCAATACGACTTAATCCAGTGAACACTTATTTAGTGGGTTATAGAATAAACTTTTTACATGACAGTTTACTATCCCGTTATCCAGGCCAAAAAAAGTGGGGTGGGATTCGAACTTCAGAACCAATACTTGAAAGATGAATGTTTAAAACGTTCAGCATGCCACTTTGAATGCAGAGTGCAGTACTGTTTTTACATTTACATATTCAAAGTGACGTTTTTAACGTTGAATATAATCACTGTAGAATTTTATTCTTACTTTCAGAGAGTTGGCGCTTTCAGTCACCTCAGTGTGTGTCTACAAATTTGCTTGCTTCTGTGGAGCTAGTTATATAGGCCGCACAAAGCGCACACTCTACAAACATATCCTGCATGCCTGTCAAGGGGAGAATGTAAATCAATTAACAGTTCAATTCTTGAACATTTGTTCAACTCTAGATATAAAGCTCGACTAGAGTCCTCTTTCAGTATCATTTATAGAGTCAAAAGGAGTACGACTTCGACAGTTGTTCACAGCAGAAGTACTGGGAATTCATTAATTCAAACCTGATCTCTAGGTGCCGAAGAAGTATGTCCAGTCTTTTATCATATCATGGTCTTAACACTCTCACGTCTCGATTTCATTATAATAAGTTAATTATTATCACCTTCATTATGACCCTTGGTCTCATTCTTCACCTTCTTTACATCCATCTATCAAGTGGACACTCAATATTCGCATTTCTCATCTACCAACAATTTTCACCTTGTTAAACTCCTTGCCTTCCCCGTTACTTCTACTGTCTAGAAGATTATTACGCGAATACTTCCCATTCTTGATTTAGGTTTTTTAGCACTAGCTTAATGATGCAATTATACACTATTGTTTTATAATAGACTGTTATACAAATACGATTGTACAGCTTAAGAAAATGATATTGTCGACAGAGAAAATTTTCTTCGCTGAATTATCTCTTCTTTTCTCTATGACTCGATGGGCATATTTCCTTGTCTTTTAGGGAGTTCTTGGCAAACTTTAACCTTTCTGTATGTTTGTTTAAGTTAGCTATTTTTTGATAAGAGTACATGAAATTATAGCTAAAGGAGGATATGATTCTCACTAGATAATTGTAGAAATCAGCACTAAACGCAATTCATATGATAAAGCTGCTTAGGGATAATAAAATAACGGTAAACAATAACTAAGCTGATAAGACTGTCGAATTACACAGACTGTGCTAGCTCGGATGTGTATCGCGCGAATCGAACCATTTCCTTAATGCATGATTTCATCATAAAAATAGTTATGTTAGGAAAAAGCTAGGAGTAACTAGGTCAAAGCATAACACCACCCACCAGTTTGTAGTGTCAAATGAACAACTTCAAGGTTACTGGTCCGAGTCCTATGGTGACGTTTCGATCGACTTTAACACTATCAAGCTCTAGATACTCAACATGTACTCGGAATGGTATTGAGACTTAAATAATGCGTGAAAAAATGAAAACAAGTATGGAATAGTATGTGTTTGACTTCATGTAACAGTTGCATTTGCCTTTTTGTCGCTGTAACACATTCAGAAAAATTCCACGTGAAACCTCATACAGCAATGTACTGGATCAAGTTCTCGCATTTCATAGCAGCATACAAGCACTTGATGGGTAGAAAAAGACTTAAATCAAAGTAGACAGAAACATGTGAGAGGAGAAGGAATTTCGAGAACTGAGGTAAGTTGAAATGTTCAAATCATAGAATACGTATAAGGGGTGATAAACCTGTCTAAGAGTGATCAATTTTTAACCACCTCATTAAGAATCTCCAACTGTCCATTCCTCCTGTCTTGATGACTTAAGTCAGGCGAAACACACCTCCTTACAGCAGCTCACACTGACAGTCAGAGGTTTCTCAGGCTGCTCCCACGTCTTATCCTAACTAAACTGATCCTTCTTCCAACACAACTCTATTTCAGCTGGTCTCACACGTCAACATAGGTGGTATTCCGGTATGCAAGACACATGTCCAAACCATCTCGGTCGCTGAAGGTTCATAACCGTATTAAATGACTTACCTACCTTACATAGTACCGTTCATCTAACGTCTACATTATTCACGCGGTGATTCCACCGTACGTGAGGAATACTGCAAATACTGGTGTGGTCGAAAGCCTGAAATAGCCTCGTACGTTCCACGTCCAACAGTGATGTCCCACAGCTGTATAACAGGACAAAGTGGACTGCAGAGCAGAAAACTCACCCTACAATAGGTTGGCGGATAACTCACCAAATAGCGCTGGAGATGATGTCACTTGGAAAATGACAAACAGGCCTTTTTAACCGAGCTGAAATCGCGCCAGCAACCAATTCATTTAGGCTGGTCAAGCCGTCAAATAAGTGAAGTGGTAGACACATCTTGCCACTCTGTTCACCCCCTTCAGGCCATTCTTGAAACATCTCATACTTGACAGATGAGAAAAGCATACCAAACGCACTCAGATTTCCGGTAATCACGTTCACAAGAACTTGGATTTCGTCAGCGTTTTCACTTAACATCTGCGTACATCAAGACAACGTGCTGCCTTGTAGGGAGTGGTTCAATCCCTTTAAAGCTGCAAATACCAAGGGTTATTTCCATTAGTACGTCCAGCAAGAAGTTCAGCAGGCAGCGTGATAGCCAGCATTCATAGCAAACACCACCAGTAGTCGTCAATTCATATGACAACTATCAACTAGCTCTTACACATTTGCCTGAGTTCACGTGGAGATCTCTGATTAACCCAATGTACCTTGCCGCAGTAAGCAGTCACAATAATGCTCAGCAGTACAGATATGCAATGTTCAGATACTGTGTATACACTTCTGAAATTCGCCTTCGTTAACCTCAATTTCGGAGGTTGTTAATCCAATCTGCGAAAAAACCGATCATTTCTATTAAAAATCCCCAAGACTTGAGAAGTAGTCACTGGTAGCTGAACAATAATTTCACCTAAAACTGTAAATATTGTTTATGAATGTGTAAGTTACAAGACATTACAGTTTTATGATGACAAGACTTTTAATTTGTGGTTTTGGTGTGAGACGATAATGGAATACTGATCAGTCAAGACACGAAACGTGATATGATGTAGTGTAGATGAGTAACCGGTGTTCATGAGACTAGAAATGATGGCTGATTTTATTCGTTTCATGATTGTCATCATAATTCGAAGTCAGTCAAAGGCAAATTGACTATTAAAGTGGCCAAAAGCTTATCATCGTATATCGCATCATATGATAAAATGAAAATGCTATGTATGCGCAAAATGTGATTAAGTGATTAATCAAGGACCAAAGATAGCCCTTGAACTCTTTTAAGTAAGTCACCCGTTTTGTCTGCTATGAAAGGAAGAGAGGAATTTTGATGTTATATGCTAGAAATAAATCGTCAAGATAACCTGCTTGATTTATATCTCTGGCCTGTTTTGACTCATAACCAAAGCATATCTGCAATCGTAATAGAACTGGGTTTCTCTCAGCGGATCAAATTTTTATCACTCGGTGCTGAAGTTACCATTAAGCCTTTTGGGCCAACATGGACCCACTGCAGGAATTATGTTGGTATTGAACACTAAATACTGGATAGCTATACACTGGTAGACCAATACATGCAGATAGAGAAGTATTTCAAAAGAAATTAACGAAATGAACTTCAAAACACTAATGCATGAAGCAAACATTCACAGTCCCACTAAATGTGTAACTTCACAAAAAAATCATGTAAATATCAAAACGAAAAGTATATAAACTCAGCTAAGTCAGACAGACAGACAATATCAACATTACTGCATAACGGTCCGAGTTGCCGCACCTTATATCAGCACATCAAGTAATATGAAAAGAAGAAATAAAGAAGAATTCATCAGAGTAGTAAAATAAAGGAAGGAGAAATGGGAAAGTACTGAATTCATTATAACCATTAGGATGAGGATGATGTATGGATACATATGCACCACTGATATCGATTCTGAACCATGTCATATAGAGTCTCCAATCACTGGTTTCTCTTGTCATGCAGATCTCAACCAGAAAGTCTAAATTCCCCTACATGGCTTAGACCAACAGTCAAAGACTTGGTGCAATGATGTCGTATTTCAGTTTGGTCGACTTGAACTTTTCCCCAGCATGAACCTACTGAACGATGAGGCAGATGCTGACTAGGCATGCATAACATATGTCTCAGATACTTCAATCTATGAAGGTTCAGAAACTCATCAAATGACATTCTTCTCTTCCACACTACTGAAGCGGTGACATCACGAGAAATGACCTATGCTACAAAGGCAACGGTAGTCATACCTTCTCCCTTAAATAGGCAAGTATCATAGCTGAGCCGTGGAACAGGTAGAATTGCAGCGCGGTATACTTGACTCTTAATAGATAATCGGATATTACGGCAGCACACAAGTTGATGAAAGCCAATCGAGCCTTTTCTATCTGCGAGGAGATTTTTTCTGCCACTGACCTTCTAGGGCGAACTTGACTTCCCGGATAAGTGAAATTATCAACGCGCCAAACTATTTCACTGTGTATTCTTGGCCAATGTACCACAGAAGATCAATCCTGAAGCAGAAATTTGCATTTGAATGGTGAGAAACGCATTTCTCGAACTTCTACTCAAGGTGTCCAGAAGACTCTGCATCTTGTTAGCATCTTCACCTAACAGGGCTGTCATCTGTATACTCTGGATCAACTAAGGATCTTCCTGTGATAATATCAACCCCTGTGAAATCAGATGACGAGGGGGAGATACATACAAGTACTTTTATAATAAAGTTGAATAGGAATCGAGAAAGTGGATGTCCTTGACGGACACCACTCGACGTACACAG